CCCATTGGTTCCTATGAGCTTATAGAGGTCACACTACTCGATTTTTAGTTGTGCAACTAAACAGTTGTATTGGCTGCGAAACAGTCGACAATCGCACAATAGTTGTGGGATAATATAGTCCCTTTGACTGTGCGCCCGCTCTAATAGTTTCTAATATAGATGTGAATTTGACTTATCTTATTAAGGAAAACACGATATGGACTTATGGATGTAAAAAAATTCTTTAAAATGAATAAACAAAATTATAGTTAGTACACTGTAGATATCTAGACGTCTAATGACGTGCAAACAGTTCTCAGAACGTCGTACAGATTTTGATTAAGGTCGTTTTAATTAAAACTATTGTTGAACATATCGCAACATCATCGTACGAAATGATAATAAATTGTAGTTAATAATTCTTATAATTAAATGTGTTTCAAATTTAGTTACCATAAATTACGAGCGAACTGTGGTGTTAAGCGCGTATCGCAAAACTTTTTGACTAAACTATCGCATAACTGTTTTGCGATTGTCGATTTAGCAGCCAATTCAACTGTTTAGTTCCACAATTAAAAATCGACTAGTGGGCGCACCTCCATATATTCTCATAGGAATCAAAGCGAGTGCACACCACGCTTTTAAACTACAAACTATAGTTTATACAAACGAAAATCAGACTCCAGAGATTAACTACTAAAAATAAGGTTAACTATATAAAAACGAAAAAATAAAATTTATTAGAAAGAAAATATCTTAACTTCACGTCAGTACGCCGCAGTTCTATATTGCAGGTACATTTTTAATTACATTAAGTAGCAGTAAATGTTGCAAGATAAATCTTACATTAGATTAGTCTGTATTACGTTCCGAGTAGTTTCATTTTATTTTAAAGAGTTTTTAAAGTTAAAGTAAAATTATCTTCTTGCATTTGCATCTTCTTTTCTATCTAAGTCAAATCTGTACTTCAAATCATTTAGATAAAATGAAATATAGCATCATTGAAAACATATTCAATAACTATAAACTTGACACTACTTTTGACCTTGTAGAAATTAGTAGTTTACTTTTTACATCCTCGTCTACGTTAAAGAATGTAGTTAATGTAACATTACGATTTTATGTCAAGAACATTTTACAATACTTTAATTATTATGTCCATTCTTATTTATATTAATGTGTTCCAGGTTTGACCTAAGAGATGTCCCCGTGGAGACGAGAGAGATCCTGGTGGAAATGACGCATATCACCACCGCTAATTTATTAGCTGAATGCAGAGGGAACGTCACCGATGTGGTAGCCACGCCAGTGACCGTCTTCTTATCAGTCAAGTCCTCAAGTCTCGTATTAACATGGGACACTAACGAAGAATACTTCTTAGATGTTCAGAGTAAAGGTAAAATTAAATAAAAACTATTAACAACTAAAACTTTAAAACTATTAACAACTAAGACAATCTGTGTAATTTTTGTAAGACCCTGACATTTTATCGTGGGCAATATTCTTCAAATGTCAGAAACAACACACAGCGCTAAGAAACAATCGCGATTTACCACGAATTCAATTAATAAAAGCCGTAAATCTATATCCGTCTTTGTATACTATCGCAAAAGTCGTGTTCGCGTTTGACGACCTCCTGCTGTTTGCTTATAGAATCTCTGCTAGTGTAAAGCAAACCTTATTTTAGTACACAGTATGAAGAATAGTAGGATTTCTTTAGTTGTAAACAGTTATATACAACTAATACCTTCAAATTTTTAAAAATCTCATAAGTAAGACTACAACCCTCATTCGTTTATAATCTTTTACATATTTCAGGAAGTTCTTTTAAAATTCTTTTACCCTTCATTCCAGGTGATAGCGTAACAATTCATATATCAGCAGAAACAGTATACGGCGCGCGCCATGCGTTAGAAACACTTACCCATCTAACAGCCTCCGATAGACCGGTTCACTCGAATGAACATAACTGCGGTCTTCACATCGTCGCCGGCGCTAAAGTACGAGACAGACCCGCTTACGGTCATCGAGGCTTGGTGCTGGATACTTCTAGAAACTTCATGCCTATGGTCGATATAAAGAGGACGATCGATGGATTGGCAGCCACTAAGATGAACGTATTTCATTGGCATGTTACAGATTCTCACAGCTTTCCTTTAGAATCAAAGAGTGTGCCGCAATTTACCAAGTAAGTTCACAGATAATAAATACTATATACTAGTATTTACATGCAATTTTTTAATTTTGACCTAGTTACGAAAACATTTATTACTGTTTAATTAAAATGAAGGTCAGTGATGAATGAATGAATATTTAATACTCGTATTTATGTGTAGGTTACCTAGTTTTTGACTTTTTATTTTAAAGTGGTATTTTTTTCGTATGTATTGCGGTAGATTTTTATAGTTTGATACAAAATTATGTTAATGTAATTATTATGTAAAATAATGAAATACGTTAGGTAATATAATGACTCGTACAAGCTGCTTTAAATTGAAGGTCTTCATTATTGCCATTGTTTTCTACAATCAGACGTAATTACTGTTTACATTATTATTGCGGTTAGCAAGATATAACGTAAAAGATGTGGATGCAATAATAAAAATAAGCAGAAGTTTTTATTTATGTTAAATATTTACTTTTTTAGAATAATATTGTGTAAAAACTATATGAATGAGGAACGAGCAAAATATTACCGCATAGTGTGTAATCGTTTATTTATTACGATGATTATTATCGTATGATAATAAATGCAAATATGATTATAAACATTTATAAGTGAGCAAATGAGTAATAAATTAACATCCGCAAATGTTTATAGTTATTATGCAAATAGTCCAGGTACGGACTCGTCATTAGAACCCACAATAAAATAAACATAATACAAAATTGAAGTCGAAAAGAGAAACACTATTCAATAAATTGTTCAAATCGTCTTGAAATCAAAATTGCACGAATTGATGTATGCATTAAACCGATATTCTAAAACAAATCTTTGGTTATGAATTATGATTAAATTTCAAACATTAGACCACCACTAATACAAAGTATTATTCTATCAATAACACTGATTTGCTTGTATATTCCAAGTATTATCAAATATCCTTAAGGAGGTGGTCGGACATATGCTGTAAATTTAGCATCTAAGTAGTAACACTAGTTGTATACTTGTAGATACGGCGCGTATTCTGCACACGAGTTGTACAGGACCGAGGAGGTCCGCGAGCTGATCCACTACGCGAAGGTGCGCGGCGTGCGCGTCGTTATTGAGATAGACTCGCCCGCGCACGCCGGCAACGGTTGGCAATGGGGCAAGGTAAGGGACACTTTTGTCTCCAACAGCAATAGGTGCTCTACAATCCTGCTTGATAGTTGCAACATAAAGAAATCAGTCTCCATCGTTTTATAAGGGATAGAAATGGGAAGTGGATTTTTCATCATTTCTCCAACCTTAGGGTCGACGCACCGGATTTTGTTAACTCTATCATCCGCCATCTCAGTCATCACTCCCTTGATTATGTCAAGATGTCATGTTAAGACACCTCCAATTATTCAACTTAGTGCAGATATCTTTAAGCAGCGGTGTCTTCGCTTTAAGCAATATACTTACAGACATTCTAAATTCAAGGCACATTATTTGTTTTTTTTTTTTCAGGATTATGGCTACGGTGATCTGGCAGTATGTGTGAACGCGGAATCCTGGCGGAGGCTGTGCATCCAGCCGCCGTGCGGGCAGCTGAACCCCGCCAACCAGGCCGTGTACCGCGTACTGAGGTCACTGTACAAGGATATACTGGACCTCATGCCCAAGCCTGCGCTCTTCCACGTCGGAGGTGATGAGGTAATAATTTTTTTCAGCTTGCAATAGATGTCGCTTTTGTCAATTTTCAGTAATGATAATTTAAATCTAAATCTTACTGATGTTATAAATGCGAAAGTTTAGATGGATGTATGTTTGTTAAAGTCTTCTCCTGAACGACTAAACGAATGTTGATAAAATTTGGCAAAGATGTAGAGGAGAGTCTGGAAGAACACGTAGGCTATTTACTTTTCATTCTTTCAATTTAACGCAGACGAGGTCGCGGGCAAAAGTTAGTTAACGAATGTATCTGCCGAATTGAAATGCTGTAGGCGAAATTCCTATCTTAGCTTCAGTGCAGATATTGGATAATACTGAATAATGAGCTGTTAAGATCAAATCTGATTTAATTAAGTTAATTCAATGTCGTCAAAAAACCAGTAACTATACCTTCCACAGTAGACCACATAATCTTATTTTTTTAACTATCGAAGTGAAGATTACCATAATCTTGATGCTTCCAAGGTAAAAGAATTCTAATCTTAAAATCACTTTATCAGGTACACTTAGGTTGCTGGAATTCCAGTGAGGAGATAGTTAATTACATGAAAAATAAAGGCTTCGACACTGATGTGGAAGGCTTCATCAGATTGTGGGCGGAGTTCCATTCGAAGGTTCTCCAGATTTGGGACGAAGAGGTCTTGGCTTCAGGAGGTGAGAAGCAGCCCGTTCTCATTTGGTCTTCAGAACTCACCCAACCTGGAAGGATCCAGAACTATCTTGATAAGGATAGGTAAATATTTCATTCATTTTTTTCTAATTTAATTTTTTGAATCAATTTGCTAAGAGAAGTAACTTTTTCTTCATTTCGGGGGAAATCAAAAATTATCTCCATACAAGACTAAATTTTCTTGATTTCCTAACGATGTCATTCAATTATTTTAGATACATAATAGAAGTATGGGAGCCATTAAGCAGTCCCTTGCTGAGTCAGCTGATGCGTTTGGGATACAAGACGATATCCATACCCAAAGACATCTGGTACCTGGACCACGGGCTGTGGGGCAGCACCAAGTACTCGAACTGGCGGCGCATGTACGCGCACCTGCTGCCGCGCGACCCCTCCGTGCTCGGCGGAGAG